TACACCTCCTACCTCATTCAGAGGAACTGTCCTGACTCCACTTTACATTTGAAAACCGGGCCTAGGTGACTCGACTGAGGTTGTGCTTTCAGTGTGGCCATGGCTGGGTGGAGCATCATTTGGAATATCCTGGCTATCATTCCTACTTGGAATGGCTTTGACATGGATTGGGGTGCTGGCATCATTTCCCAGAGCTGAGGGCCCAGGAAACAACTGCATCTACACTTGAACCTACATCTGCTGAAGGCTGACTTAACAACCTCCTGTATGTGCCCCCAAGTTCCTAGGAGCCTCAGTATCTCCACAGAGAGGGGCCTGGCACTGGAAGAGAAGAGATACAGTCCCAGGAAGCTCTAGTTGCTCCTTGTGCTGGGACCCACCATGCTTGTGCAGTGCTCCAGCTGTGGAATCCTAGGAAACCCAGACGTCCTCATGTGACCATTAGTGAGCATGTATCACACATGTGGCTGCCCACCGTATCTTAATAGGCTTGTGTTGGGGATATGGCTCAATTGTAGGATACTTACTGTAGTCACTCCTTCCTGAGGCCAGGGGCCATGTGTTGTCCCTGACCATATTTAGTTCTTGTGGCCAGTCTCAGGAAACAGAGGGTAGTGAGTGCCCATTTTATAATCCGTGCCATTGATTGAGGAAGGAAATACAAGGTCAGACGCCCACAGCTGATTTCAAAAGGGAAGCCCAACCCCATACTGTGCCAAGTCCTCTCCTTAGGACAGTCTGCCCAGGCCACTTGCAAATCACTCTCCAAGCAAGGAAAGCAGCAGCAGCTGCTTGTGCACTCCGGCTCCATGACTTGAGAGGATGTGGCCCCATAAGAAAAGGATGAAACCTGGTATGGTCAAACTGGAGCCCAAAGGGGTTCCCTGCTTCCGGCTCTCCCTTCAGCCAGGCCTACCCCTGGAACTCCTGCAGGTTAGCAGGGTAGCCCTGTACATCCATCAGCCAGTGGCACTCCAGCAGGGACAAGGAAAGGGCAGAGTGTATAGTCCCATCCCAACACAGCCTCCTCAGTCAAAGGTGACGTCTGTGAATAACCAACGGGCAAGAGCAGATGAAAATCTCAGGCCCTTCAACTACGAGGATCCTGGCTTCCCCAGTGGGTTGAGGAAACAGACCAGTACATGCTGGCATAGCACAAAGAACGAGGGTCCAGAATGACTCAAGGTTAGCTAGTGTGGCTTTGGGCACATCCTCCTCTGGAAGCACTCTGCCCTGTAGGCAGGGACTTCTGGGAAGCCAGCATCTCCACTGGTCTCCGGGGTAAAGCTGTGGAACCTTTGGAGAATCCACAACAGAGGTCCCAGGGGAGACGGATGCTGAGCACATCTTGCCTCCCAAGTCGAATCACTTCTGCCCTTCAGAGGATGGAAGCAAGGCCACCATGAACTCTCAAGAGTTCAGGAATCTACGCCATCATAGTACACAAGGATTCAAGCGGGGAGATGGTGTGGGCAGGCAGCCTTGCAGCCAGAGAACTATACCATCCCAAACTCCAAGGATGACAGCAGTATCCAGCTCTGGCCTCTGCCAGGACAGGAGGGCTGCAGACAGCAATGGGTCAATGCAGACAGACAGGCCCCAGTGGCTGTCCTTCAGTGGGAAGAACACCTGTGATGAGGACAGTTAAGTTAGAAGATTCATTTCTTTCCTTCTCCTTTGGGACCAGAATAGAATGCTTGGTGGTGTGCATTTGTGTCAAGGGCTACTGGGAGCAGGCATGGTGGTACACTACAGTAACCCCCGCACTAGGGGGGCTGAGGCAGAAGGATGGCTGTGTTCCAGGTCAAAGCCAAAGACTTGAGACTCATTTCTGTCTCCCTTTATCTGCAAACACTATTTCCATATAGGACAAAAGAGACAAAAATGAGGAAAATGTACCCATTTCCAAAATGCCTGTTCATATCACTTAAATCACTGACTTCACAGCCCCCACTCTACCTCAGAGACACTCCCGTAGGGGCCCAGAGCTGATTCTGGAGCTGGCTTCCAGGTCCATCAACAACCCCCTCCCCAATTCCAAGGGCCCCAGCCAATTAATTAACAAGGCTTTTAAAGGCAGTTCTAAGTGCTAAGAGGCAGGAAGAGAGGAAGAGCCCTTGAGCAGGAGCTCCTTCAGTGAAGAGGGACACTTGAGCACCCTCCCTGAGGAGCTCAGAAAGGTGAGGCCACTGCACCAAAGATGCTCTCGTGTGGAGGATTAGTCAGAAGGCTCCTCTGCTGCTTCCTGTGGAGAAGCTCCATTTGAATAAGTCTGAAAAACCTTCACCCACTCAAAAATTTGAGGCCCTCCTCACTCCAGGCCAGGGACCATGTGGAGGGCTGGGACCACAGGCCACCCCTCCCCCACCCTGTCCCCTCTTAGTGAGATATACCAGCACCAAAGACACGGAGGACACAGTGCTGTGGGACAGAGTGGGGGAAGAACACAAAGGAAGGTTCCAGAGGGAAGAGGAGTGCCTGCACTAAAGGAGACCAACAGGGCAGAGCAGCCGCCACTGTCAGATGAGACTCGGTGGCTAGACCACATTCACCTACACACCCTGCCCGCCACTGTCTGTCCCCACACTCCAGCATTGTGGAAAGGGACAGCAGGACTCATTGCCTATTTTGGATGACACTGAGCCAGATAGGAGTTTGGAATCCCATGGCAAGGGAGACACATCTCAACATACAGTGCTGTCCTAGAATTACTACTGAGAGTCTTTACTTACCACTCCCTAGTTGGGGTGAGGATGACAAGACTCATTAGTGACCCCACCAAAGCTTCCTGGCTCCCAATACTATCTTCACCCAGCTTCATGCTGCTTTTCAGCCAAGATGCTGTCACCCCTCTGCCTCTCCACCTCTATGAGGTCTGTGGTTGTTATCTGTGATGAGTCATGCCCTTGACATACCTGCTCCATCCGCGTCCCTTCCACCACCATACCACACCCATCACAGTCCTGCAGCAATTTGCTAGCTGTCTCCTCACTGGTCTGTGAGTTCCCGGGGAACATTGCTTCCATCTCACTGACCTCTAGAGCCTTCTCCTGCAGTGCACAATAAACCAATAGTCACCTAGCAGAGTTCTGCTAAGCCCCAAGAGCCAACTAGATGCTTCTGCTCCTGTCTGTCCCTTCCTTCACACAGGTCCTGAGAGGCAGGGCAAAGCTGAGGCCTGGCAGTCTAGGCTACCCACCCACCAAACTTATCAGCCACCCCACACCCCTGCTTTTGATCCTATGTAAACATTTAATACGATTCCAAGTCCTGGGCAAGGCATAAGGTTGGGTGGGGGACATATGCAAAAATTCTTCTTCAGGGCCCCACAAGCCAGGCCCTGCTGCAAGCAATTCAGATCTGTACCACAGCCTGCAATGCAGGGTCTTGCAGGTTAGACAGGGAGGGAGGCAAGAGCTATAACACCAGCCTGGCTGCTCCTCTGCCCTCTCCTTCCCCTAGGCCAGTCTCTGGTGATCCACATCATAGAGTCCCACACATCTCAGCTGCCCCTCAGGCATGTCATGATGTAGACACCAGAATGTGTTCAGATGTACAGAGGGAATTCCAGCAGGAGCTCTGAGTCTCCAAGACTCACAAGTCTGGTTTGCAGTGGCCCAGGAGCCTTCTACACAGACACCTGCAACTCTCAAGTCTAACTTCTATCCTTCTAATAGCAAACAGGTTCTGCAATAGCAACCGAAAGCCTCAAAGGATCGGTTCCAACCGTAAGCCTCAAAGGATTGGTTCTGAACTAACAGATGGAAACAGACCAGGTAGGTACAGCTCTGGGAATGCCCAAGAAAAACAGCTCAAAGAGGAAAGACCTCGTGTTTCAACATTTCCTGTTCTTGGCCTGCTTCCTGCAGGGCTCTGGGCCTGTGTGAGGCAGAACAGTACGGCAGTGTCCAGTATGCACCCAGAGCTGCTCACCTCGTGGTGACCAGGAAGCAGGAGAATGGTTGAACTAATCATCTCCTTTCTCTCACTACATCAATGCACCCAGCCTGGTACCACTACACTGGGAGGGGGGTACCCTCTGAGAATCCAGTGGGTTTTACAAATTTCCTGGGTACTTCTCACTTTATAATCAAATTGACAACCATGATGAACCAGCCCAAGCACCATGGTTTAAGTTACAGACAGTAAGGCCACTAGAAACAAAAACTGTAGAGATGGCCTATGAAGACGGCTCAGCAGGAAAAGGCTTTGTCAGGCTGCAAGCCTGATGACCTGAGTTCCAAGCCCAGGACCCGACAGGTGGTAGGAGAGAATGACTCCACAAAGTTGTCCTCTGACCTCTCTCCACACATGTGCCACAGTACATGTGAAAACACATATGCATCAAACACAGAGTATTTTTATTAAAAAGTTATAGTGATGGCAATCCCCATGATTGTAAATGCCACTTGCTGTGACAAGCTTGTTTTGTAGAATTTTGATGAGGAACGATCATACTACATTAGTGTATAAAAAGCAATTCATAAAATAGCAGTTTATAAAGCCACCACTGCCCCAATTTCTCAGAAACTCCCTGGCCAGATGTGTATTTTATTATGGGATCTAGCCACTGGGTCATTCCACAGAGGAATGGCAACTTTTTTCCATCTTAGGACCAGGGGTTTCCACATATGGATGGCAGGGCAAGGCCCCAAACTCCCAGTCACACCAGAAATTAGTCTCCTTCTGCCAGGGTTTACACAACTGTCTCTTTCTACTCTGACCCATACAGACCTTGTCTTCTCAGCACCTCATGTGAAGCTTGTTCCCTGAGAGAGGCAGCTCTGACTGTGGAGGTGCAGGGCCAGGAGGAGCAGGCTATGGATTCGACAGCGAGACAGGCTCAGGATGCATGCCTGCCTCTACCACAGTCCTCCCCTCACTAGTCTCCCAACACAGCATGGGCCTCAGCACCACAGAGTCCCACTGCTGGCTCCATGGGGACCAATTGGATAATGGCCTTAAGGGGGTTCAGGTGGAAAGATGCCCGTAACTAGTGCTTATATAACAACAACTTAAGCATTTTATTTATCCATTAAGCTTCTTAGTATCACAATGGAATGATGAGAAAACAAGAACAAAAAAACGCGAGTCTTCGCGAATCTCTGACAAAGAGCAGAGACTTCAAGGCAATCGGAGGGGCAGGAGGCTCGACATAAACAGTTCTGCTGTCGCTTTTCTCCTGGGCTGGCTGGGCCAGGAGGGGTGGGGAGGTGGAATGGTGAGAAGGTGGCACTGTCGTAAGCGGTCCTTGGCGATTCTGACTCAGGACTGATAGACACATGATCTGCATGGACCACGCTGTGGGATCTCTGGGTGCCTCCCTGGCATCCAGCCACATGACCCTCTACCTGCTCCAAATGCCTGGCAACGCTACCAGTGCCAAATGGACCCCAAAGCCTGCTGTGTTGGTGGCAGCAGGAGAGGGCAAAGGCAGGCCACTTGCTCAGGGCATGACCATCCAGAGAGTGGCCAAGGCTTGTCATAGACTTCTGTGGCACAGGTGCAGGTGGTGTAGGTGGCAATGGCAACAGGCATGTCCCTGGGGCAGTGAGCAGCCAGGAAGGCAAGCAGGCACTCCTAGAGCTTCACGGTGCCAGGGGGCAGGCTGTGGTTGCAGAGTCGGTAGTAACGTAGGTCGTTTACCAGCCTGTGCACATTCTGGGTGAACGAGGGCAGGTCCTGAAAGGCAAGGCAAAGCTGACGCCTGGCAGTCTAGGCTACCCACCCACCAAACTCACCAGCAGCCCCACACCCCTGCTTTTGACCCTATGTAAACATTTAATACGATTCCAAGTCCTGGGCAAGGCATAAGGTTGGGTGGGGGACATATGCAAAAATTCTTCCTCAGGCCCCCACAAGCCAGGCCCTGCTGCAAGCAATTCAGATCTGTACCACAGCCTCCTCTGCCCTCTCCTTCCCCTAGGCCAGTCTCTGATGATCCACATCAGAGAGTCCTTCCTGTATGAGTTCCAGAAGACCCTACAAGTTGAATGACATGTGAGCTGAAGAACACAGAGTCTGGCCTCAGAGTTGTCCTGCTGGGAGCAACAGCAATTAGGAAAGCACCTAGATGTTGAAGTCAGGAGTCCCTCACAGTCCCTGGGTGTGGAGGGCATACTCATTCTCTGTTCACTGTTTCCCACATTGCTTAGCATGGGACAAAGGAGGGCCTGCTGTGCAGGTCCATATGTGAAGAGTGTCAACAGTATATACAATGCTGTCACAGACATAACTGGCAACCCACCTTGGCTACCAAGGTGATACCAGTGTAAAACTCAGCCACATCGAATAGCTGAGAGTTCTACCTCTCTCGCTTTCTTCCTTGCTGGAACTCAGCGCAAACCTGTCCCCATAGCTAAAGTTCCTGCCTGTCTTGCCTTAGTTGGCCCAGTCAACACCTCTGTTGCACTCTCAAAGTCCCTCAGATGGATCATACTGCCAGCTCTCAACCACTCAGCTCAGATCCTGGTTCCACATCTCCACTACTTCTAAGTTCAGTAATTACCCACTACCAGGTGGCCCTCTAAGCCTAGCCATCTTCAAAATGAAGCCAATATTTGCTCTTCAGAAGGTGCTTGGAAGAGAAGGAAGTGCCAAGAACAACACGGCTCAAAAACAATACCATGCAGTCTGTTTTCAACAAAAGCCTTTGTGGAAGCAGGGACTGGTGCCTGGCAGCAAGGTGAATGAACAGATGACCAAAGGGAAAGTGTGATTCATTTCATCCTGAAGAATAGCACAGAGCACAGGGCCTGGTTCACCTTTAATCCCAGCACTCAGGAGGATCTCTGGGTGTAAGGCTAACCTGGTCTATACAGTAAGTTTCAGACCAAAGAAAGACCCTGTGCAGAGAGGGGGAGGGGACGGAAAGGGTTAGACGACACTTGCATATAAGGGATAGGGGGTGTGGGGGTGCGGATCACAAATCATATCCAGCAAAGGCTACACAGCGACCCTATCTCAGAATACCCAAACCAAATCCAGCCAAAAACCAACCAAGCAGCATCCTTTCAATCAGCAGCTCCCAAAAAAACAAAACTCCCTTGGTGGAGCCAAACATCCATTTTCAATATGCATCCTAGGAGTCTGTTGAGTAACTAGATTTGGAACCCACTGCATTAAACAATACTGATGCCACTGCAAAGCAGCCACAAGGTATTAGGAGTTGGTCTATAGAAACCAAGGAAAAACTACTCAAGTGGCTGAAAGAGCCCTGGGATTGAAGGTGTGTGCCTGGCTTCTATGGCTTGTGGCCGACTTTGCTTTCTGAATCCTCAGGCAAGCTTTAATAAATCATAAATAATATATCACCACACCACACCTAAGACAACAAGAGGAGCAGTACTTGTTTCAAAGAAGAAAAGTTTCCAAAAGAATTTTCTTTTGCAAAGTTCTAAAGATGTCCTATTACGCAAAGATCAGGGAGGGCTACGATACACAGCTTGACACCATCCAGAGTCATCAGCACCCTGGCTGCCCCATCATCCCCAAGGGACTTCCCCCAGGGCTCTAAATAGCACAGAGAGTGAGCATTATGAGGCCACTTTGAGGAGTCTGAGCTGCGCCAGTGCTGGGTTGTGAAGAGTGACAGGAAGAGTCCGGGGCAACTAAGCAACAGGGTCATCTCTGGGGGTCCAAAGCTGTACCAATCATTTTAGCCTGCCTGAAAGTCAGGGCAGAGGTACAGTATGCTGCCTTCTAGCCCACTAAGAATGGGAGCCCGTAGGAGGCAGAGATGTGTGTTGAGGGGGTGGGGGACGCAGACAAAAAAGTTAAGATAATGTGTGGCCTGCTGGGCCAGGTCCTGGGACCTCAGTGGTTGAGACAGAGAACATGTGAGCTACAGAAACCAAGTCCCAGAGAATGAGTATACCCTCCACACCCAGGTACTGATGACAGCCTACCAGTGGGTATAACCATGCCTAGATCTAGATGGGCCCTTACTAATCAGACAGCAGGCTCAAGAGCCCACACATGTGTTCCCTTGTAGCCTAGCCTTTTCTCCTCACCCGATCCATCTTGAAATTCCGCCCCAGCACATTTTTCTGATTGGCATCCACACCATCACAGCTGGTCAGGAACTCTGGAAGAAAGGCTGCAAAGAAGCCATCAAAGTCCACAGAAGCCATGTTGTAAATGGCGATACCAATCTCCTCTTGTAGAAGGTCATGAGACTTATGAACCAGGACTTGGAGCAGCACATTCACAAACTGGAATAGCATGGTGGTCCGGAAGATCTTCTGCAAGCAGAGGAGCAGGAGCATGAGCCAGGAGGCTCACTCAGACTGGTGTCCCGTCTCCCCCCCCCCCCCCCTCCCAGTCTCAGTGTGTTCCCCTAAAGTACACACCAGGCAGACTCAAGGGAGTTAGACTCAGCCCAGAACTCTCAGATGAGGAGGAATCCTTCCAGGGGAGAAGGGCACTTACTTTGTGGTATAGTTTCTGCTTGCTATTCAGAGTCTCCAAGTAGAACAGATTTTGTTTGAACAGGTGGATGTCTGGTTGAAGAAAGGACTGTCCAAAAGCCTGGAAAGTAAGACTACTATTTAGTAAGCAGCATTTATGCTCCCTCAGACCCAACCCCTCCAGGGCATCTAACTTATGCCAGAATCAACCTATCAACCTACACAGCTCCCCATTGAATATCTAGGGCAGACCTCTGCAGTGTTAATCTGACATCTTGGCACATGTGTCTTCCCATGGGCCTTACTTTTTATTTTGGTCTCATCTATACCTTTTAAAATAAACTCTAGAACAGTGGTTCTCAACCTGTGGGTTGCAACCCCTACAGGATCGCATATCAGATATCTACAATTCCTAACAGTAGCAAAATTACGGTTGGGGGTCACCACAACATGAGGACTGTATTAAAGGGCTACAACATTAGAAAGATCAATAACCACTGCTCCAGAATCTCTTCATGAGCCAGTCTTTGAAGCAAGGCACCTATACTAGTCAAACCCTTGAGCAATCTGAGCAGACAGCACAGCCTGCCAGCCTGCCCAGAAGATCCTCGTGCTCCTTAGCGCCCATGCCTCACAGGCCTCAAGTCCTCAGAAGTTCCTCATAATCACTGCATCTGCTTTGGGGCTGAGCAACAACGCACCTGTAAACTGCCTCAGAATGGCTAGGACGGAAAGCTACTAGCCCAGGAGCAAACTGAAACACCCAACACAAACTTCCCCACTCCAATACAAAGGGATCACAGGGGCAAGGGAGGCTGGCAGCCTACAGTAAGTGGCTACTCCATCCCAGGGCTGTCTGTGCGGCTGTGCAAGGAATCTTGTCATCGTTGCTGCAGTAGTGAGATCTATTCCTCAAGTCAAGCTTTCCAAAGCTGGAGTAAAACTCCCTTTGGCACTGTAGGACTTGGATCTACACAGAGCACCATTACCACTGAAAGGTCTCCTCACACTAACTTTATCTCCATCCTCTTCCTGTGCTGGCAACCACTGCTCATTCTCCATCCCTACACTTTTCTTTTCCACGTCATGGTAAAGGGTCATGGGGCAGGGCAGAGCCTTTCCTCTGGCTTTTTTCACCTAGCAGAGTCTATGTTCATTTCCACTGTAGTAGTATGTCCCTGATTTGCCATTGGGTTTACCCATTCACAGCTAGTGACTATTTGGATTGTTTCCGGTCCAGAGCAATCATGAAAAACAGACATGAGCATCTGTGTACAGGTTGTGTGAACACATGCTGTCATTTCCCTTGGATTGCTAGATCAGCCATATATGTAACATTATAGGAAACTGTCCAACTGTGAAACTCTTTCAAAGTGACTTTTATAAGCCCAAGTGAAAGACCAGTACTCAGTAAACAAAGTCTACAAACACAGATGAAGCCTGGGGGAGCAAACAACAGAATACACCAAGCCCAAGCCCTGAACAGGGCAGTACGGTAGGAGCCAGAATGCCCTTCCCAAATGCAGAGTGCTGAGCTCTCCAGAGACTCCTAGCTCACCAAGTAAGCAAGAACCAGGTAGAACTTGTCACCCTGCCTCAGCCTTCAAGTGTTCCAAGGGCTGGAACTGCATGTGTCACCATGCCCAACAGAGTCTGCCTCAGACTGCTCTTAAATGAAGGGAATGGACAGTTAGCACACATCCACTGGTGTTGTGTCCTTGATGTCCACTGTCACAGACCTGTCCAACAGATCTGTGACATCAGCAGGAATGACCTCACTTTATGCAACAAGAGTCTGAAGCCCCAAGAAACTAACAGGGGCAGAGCTCAGTGTCAGTCCTACACTTGCTGCAGGGCCAGGTTAGAAGTGGGCCACATACCTAAGAAGCAACCCGAGGGACTTGGGCCAAGGACACAGGCAGCACCATGAACAAAGCCCTCTTGCACTCAGGGCACATTGCAGCTTCACAGGCAAGCCCTCCACCTTACCTGCATGATGGCACTGAACTGAGGTTCATTCTCCATCTGCTCCTCAGCAATGCCCCTCTGCACGCTAGCCAGGACAGTAGACTTGAAGAAGTACCGCCAGTTGTGATGGAGCGTCCGAAAGAGGAGCTCAAACAGCTCAGCCTTCACGTCAGGTGACGGGCGCTGTAGAGATAGCAACAGCACTGCACTTTTCCTTCAGGCAGCCTGGGGGGGGGGGGGGCGTGTTTCAAGGGACAGGCCTACACTTGAGACAACATTAAGGTGAGTGCCAGGATGCTCTTTCTAATGAATCAATCACTCAGTTTTAAAGACTAGGAAGAAGGGCAAAAACAATGAAAATACAAATTTTTCTATTCAGAAAATAGCCAGCTGGACTGTTCCTATTTTCCAGGTTGGTAGATCCCTCTCTCAGGATGGAAACTAGCAGGTCAGAATGCTGACTAACCTGCTAGCTCTAAGCAACCTGAGGGCCTAACAACTGCAAGATGCCTTAAAAGCAGCTCAAGAGCGGCAAGTCTGAAGAAATCTAAAGGCCTCCCAGTGGTGGCAACATGCTGTGCTAATTGCTGCCTGGGTGAGGGGCTCCTTTTCCTGCAGCAAGCATGAGGATTCTGAGCAAACAGGGGGTCACTAAAGCATGATTTCCTAACTTAAATCCAAATGTCCAAGTTACCAGTGAGCACACAAGCCATTATTCCCAGCACTGTTGTAGAATTCTGTGACTATCAGCTGCATACCCATGTGTGTCTCAGGACCTAGCACCCTGACTGTGGGGACAGCTACAAGATCAGCTTCTATTTCCCTAGCCATTGCTGTGACAGTCAAGCTGCATCTGTACTTACCATGTACAGATAGTGCCTGTCCTTGCACTTTCCCAGACCACTAAAAGCTCTACCTGAATGGTCACCAAGAACTTGCTTTTAGCAAGACTACCAGTTGAAAGCATTCTTTCCTGAGGAGAGGAACCCAAAAACCATTTAAGAAGAGAAAGAGAGGGCCTCTGGAAGAACAGTGCACACTATGCCAAGCCAGCTCTTCAGCTATGAGTTATGAGCATTTAAAAATCCTAAGTCTGCATTTATTCTTTTTATTAGTATTCATTTATTTTTTATGTATGTATGTGCATGATATGTCTTTTTCTTGGATGGAGGAGGGACCCCAAAAATGATTTATGAGTACTGAAAGAACCCACAAATGAGATCAAAACACAAGGCACTTTTCCTCTTACCCTCTCTCCCTCCCAGTAAGGAGGCACCACGGGGGCCTCCCTGGCCCCACCTACCTCAGCAATGATGGGGTACACCTGCTCCATGCAGAGTGCAATAATGCTGGGGAGGAAGGGCTTGAACACCTGGCCAGGCTCCTGCACCACCACTTGTAGGATCTTCAGGAACTTCTCCACCACCCGGCAGCCAGTGCTGCCTTCATGGAGGATGCTCTCAGCCAACTGTTCTCTGCAGGCAAAAGAAAGCCACAGAATAACTCAACAACCACTTCTTCTGGAACCAGATGACAAGCAATGTTTGCTGCAAGTGAGGAAAAGGAGCAGAAAGTCCTGCATTTTGCAGCCGGGCTTGTCCATGGACTCTGAAAGGCCGGGGCTGCAGGTGTGGGGTTACCTGGTAAACATGTTGAGGAAGGTCTGTATTATCTGCTCTGTGAAAGGCACACCCATCTGTACTCTAAGGCCTCGAAACAAGGTGAGGAAGAAGCTCAGCATCTCATCAGTCACATCTAAACAAAGGACAAAGCAAACGGTCAACACCATGTGCACAGGGACTAAAGCACCGTGGCTTGATCCATTTTCCCTTGCAATCTGCACTGTCATCTCTCTCTAATGCATCCCACTGGAAGAAATGTCCCCAACACCATCAGAGCCAATGATGGAAAGTGGAAAATGATTAAGAGCCTGCTGAGAACACAGCTATGGTCCTAGGAATGGCTACCTGATTGCTCGCAGTAGGAAATGAAACTGTGTCATCTTGAAGCCCAGCATACTGTCCCACATCCAGCATGATCAGCATTCTCACTGAAATTGAGTCACTTTGTGCTCACATCCAAGAAATTATCCAACTGGGTCAACACCTGAATGCCTTGGCATTTCTTTCTAAGACCAATCATCCCTGTAGTGGGTCAAGGTTAAGTGGCTAAAAGTAGATAATGATGTAGCACTCAGGTCACACTGTCCTGGGCTACTAAATGAATTAATTTATTGATTCTGGTTAGTGTGGCTCCATATTCCAGATCTCATCTTGCATGGGACATTTTGGTTCTTACCACACACAATGTACTTACAAGATGCCATCAGTGCATCTAAGCTATAAAGCCCCTGCTGTCTATCTAACACTGATAAGCCCACTGTAAATGCTCTCAGCAGAGCCAGACAAATACATTCAGAATGACAGAGCAGTACCGGTCGGTGACAGTAACTGACAGTGGGTTAAGAAAACCACATCAGCTCTGTTTTCACCTTTCCAGACTCTCCAATGGCAGCACATCTTTGCCTTTGTTCATAGGCTTCCCTTCACTGAGCAGTCCAGGCTGGCTTGCTCTGACTTGGTATGTTCTACAGATCTAAGTAGGTATTCTGGCCATTCATCCATCCATGAGGCAGGCCTCTGAGCCAATTCTTACCTGACTGATGGATGAAAGCTGGAAAGAGGGCCAGGGAGACCTGAACAGATTCCTGCAGAGACTGGTAGCAGATCTGTCGTGACTTGGTGGATTCCCCAGAGATATTCTCTACAATGTCTTCCAAAACACTAAGTGTCTGGTGAATGATCACTTTGGCTGCAAGTCAAGATGAAGCTGCAGTTACTTGTTGCCTGAGACACAGTACAGTTAGAGGGAACACACAAGGAAGGAAGAACCTTGAAGAGGGAACACCAGGAGGACACTCACACAGAAGGAAGCCTTGCTAGCCAGCAGAGCTTGTCTCTATTTCATTATAGGACCCCATAAGCACCATGTCTCTCCTCTTCCTTTTTTACCTCCAGGATTCCAATTGTCTGCCTATCTGCACACTTGGGCTTACACTTCCCTGCTCCTTGATCCACTACCAACAAATCAAATGGGTGATAAGCTGGGGGTATAGCTTAACTGATAAAGTTCTTGCCTAATACGCACAAGGCCATGGGTTCAACACTCAGCAACACATGAAAACTGGGTGCGCTAGCACTTGCCTGTAATTCCACCATTCAAGAGGCAGGAGTAGAAGTTTTAAGGTCAGCCTAAGCTCCAGGAAACCCACCCCATCACCCTCCATAAAACAGTAACTGGCTAAATATACACCCCATAAGCTGATGAGGTGATTGGTAAGACTAGGTGATTAACACAGGAGAGCAGACTCATCCCCCTTCAGCTACAGACAGTACCCACCCTGCTAACCTACAGGCACAGCTTACCATACAATGTAATAATGCTGGCTTAAAAAAAAAAAATGCCTGATCAATTTTTGGCATATCAAGTCTGTAGCCTGCTAATGTATATATGATTATTATATATTACTGGGCGGTATGTTTAATTCTAACCATATACTGACATAAGTTTACACTGTGTTTCTACACAGCACAGGGAAAATGGTGGCAATGACCAGCCGACATTCAAAGTGAGAGCCTTGACTGCAGCAGAGAGAAGGTCAGTAGCCAGCTTATACCCTGGGCAGGAGTCTAGTTTGGCCCAACAGACCCATCCTTGTTAGGCTGTTCTGAGGGTCAGAGGCAATGTTTTAGCAGGGTACCTGGCATACAAGGTCTGAGAAAGTTGTTGCCATTCTCTCGCATGAATGGAGACTGCTTGATTCAGCCTAAGTCTAGTAGGCTCAGTCATGATGAACTCCATAAGCTGGTCCAGACTGAGACTTGGAGAGCCACGATCAAACTTGTAGTATATTCTGGGCTGTTCTGAGCCTCACAGAGCCCACTGGCTGGGAGAGGGGCAGGGGTTTTGGGGGAGGGGAGGAGGCTAAAGTTTCAGTCAGAGGAAAGTGTAGGAGGAAGATGACATGCCTAGAAGTGTACTAAGTTAGTTCTGTTCCTCTGGTTTAACTAGGTGCTGAGCTCTGCTTTCTTCATCTGAAACTGTGGCCAGAAATATCCCCTCATGGGACTGAGGATGGAAGGCAATGACTCACAACAGGCTGATCACTGAAGACTGGTGAGATGTAAGAAAGAAAACAAAAGGCACACTCACACTACTGATAAGAAGTCACTGTAAACTCAAGGAACCCAGGAAGGACAGAGTACCAGAGATGAAGAAGGGCAGGGTACCAGGGGTTAAAAACAAGGGAGTCAAGAGACAAGAATTTGGCCTGTCTGACACTCAAGGAAGTTTTGAAAAGGACCAACGTTTATTTACCAAAACATACAAAAAACTGAAAGCCCTTAGTGTGTGAATGTGGCCTGCCCACAAATAGTACATTATAAACCATGAAAACCAGGCAGCATGTACACTCAGCATGTCAGAGGTAGAGGCGGGAATATCCAGAATTCTAAGACAGTCTGAGTAATACAAAGTCTCTACCTCAAATAATACTAGTAACAATAATAACAAATACAACAACCCCAAACCACTAAAGACTTTATTTTCAAAAAGCAAGAGACAATGAGAAGAAGTGGTACAGGATCCCAGATCCAGTCATTCACACTTCTAACCCCATCACCTTCTCAGGGGAGTTGGGGGAGGCAGCATTCCCCAGACAGTGCCGGAAAGTCTCATGACAAAGAGAAATGATGTGATAAGAAGCACACACCACTCTACCTAATTTGGTGGGAATAATCAGGTACAACAAAATTAAGAAAAAATCCACCCCAAAACAAGCCTGAACTCTTAAGAAATGCCAAGGTCATGAGGGGCAAAGATGGGGTGCATTTCTGTACTAAAGTGGAGTAAAGAGAAACAACAGCTAAATTCAGTATACGACCCTGAGCTTTTAGAAAAACCAAAGATATTTCTAGTAACACTTGGGGGAACTTGTTATTATGTGGTTCAAATGTCAAATGTTTTGTCCCACTGCTGGCCAGTGCTTTGGTTCTAAGACAGTTATAAGCATCTTGTTTTATGAAAAGGTCTGCAGCTTACTATATATGTCTGGCTTCTATAAAAAGTATATTAGAGGAAGAAAACACAATGTGGCAAAGCAAGCAACTGGTGAAGCAAGGAGAAAGGTAAACAACTGTTCTTTTTTTTCTTCCCCTGGTATTTGAGATTAAACCCAGAGTGTCTAATATAATACACAGTTCTTACTGTTGTGTTGTTGTTACCGTTTGGTAACTGTTTTGAGATGGGAGTGGAGGTCTCTTTATGTACTCCTGGTTGGCCTAGAACTCACTATGTAGACCAGGCTGAGTGTTCAGAGGACAAGTCTTATTTCAACTAGTCTGGAAATTTAAAGTTTTCAAAATATATAGTTGAGAAAGGAGGGGAACCCTTTTCCAAAGATTAATCTCACTACTAAAGAATGAAGCCAACAGAATATTCCTGGAGGTTCCGGAGAAGAGGAAGCCAAACAAACTACACACACCAGGTTTTAAGGCCAGTGCTTCTTCTACACAGAAATCACACCAGCTAATAGCCTCACACCCCCTTATCTGCTCTGAGGTTAAGTCATGGCCATATGGCTTGTTATGGCCAGTATGTGTGCCAGCCCTCCCTATGCCCCTCCCACTGAGAGCTCACACTGGAGTGAAGTTCACCATCCTGTGGCCTTCTGTGTCCTTCCAGTCCTAAGCATCATGGGTGCTTGACATGCAACATGATCAAGGTTTAATTTCTTACTTTGTGTCAAGCCACTTCACCAGATAAAATCAAATTAACAGATATCCTCTCCATCATAAAGCTTAAAAAAACAAAACAAAACAAAAAAACAAAAAACTACTTTCTTTGAGTAATAACTTAGAATAAAACAAGCACCAGACTTCAAACACTGATCCTGGAAAAGTCAGGTTTGATACCAGACATAAAACTAAGGCAAGCAAGAACCTTGTATGTAGCACATTCTCAAGACACCAGCCATGCCATCTATGTGTGTCGTGTGATAATTCTACACAGTAGAAATTGGATACAAGCATAAAGCCCAGCTACAGCAACTGCTTTCCATGACATTGACACAATTGAGACTTAGCAATTCCCTTCTCTTTCTTTAAGTTATTCTATTTCAAATTTTAATATAGAGTATGTTAATATTCAGGTTATAAAAACCATCTTGTGGGGACTGGAAAGATGGCCCAGTGACCAAGAAAGCTTGCTGTGTAAACCTGAAGAACAGAGTTAGGATCCCCATAACTATATAACAAGCTGGCTGTAGTTGCACAACAGCTGTAACCCTGGCACTGAGGGGACAGAGACAGACAGGATTTCTGGGGCTTATTGGCCTCTAGTCTGTCTGAAAAACACATGAGCTCTAGGTTCAAAGAGACCTTGTGATGGGGGATGTCCCTCTGTGTATATGTTTGTCTTATTGGTTGATAAATAAAGCACTGTTTGCCAATAGGAAAGCAAGTTAGGCGGGACTAGGAGAGAAGGAAGATTCTGGGAAATATAGTAAGGAGGTCCGTCACCATGTGATCCCAGGAAGAGAAGATGTATGCCGCTGGCATCCTCAATAAAATAAGTCTTTATAAAATATATAGATTAATGGTTATGGTTGATAAATTTAAGACAGAGCTAGCAAATAAGAAATCCTAGTCATTGGCCAGCAGCATTGTAACTAACATAAGACTCTGTGTGTTATTTGGGGGCCCTAATATGGTGGCGGAACTCAGGCGGTTAGCAAAAGGAGTTACCGTTATAACCTTGACTTAAAGGAATAAGACAGTGATAGAGGACAGTCAATGTTCTTCTACTCTACAATTGTGCACTTAAGCACACACGGCACACACACCACTCATGAATACACATACTCATCACATACACAAAATACTTTAAAGAAGAACAAAGTCTTTTAAAGAGAAAGCTTAGAAAGCTGGGGAGGCAATGCCATTGCTGCATAAGCATGAGATTTCATCCCCAGAAGCCATATTTAAACTCTGAGCATAGAGGCACACACATGTTACAGTGATGGAGAGGTCTTGAAACAGACTGGTACCTGGGACTCACTGTCGGCTAACCTAGTCTATGTGATGAGATCTACAAAACTCATTGATGGAGGAAGTACTTTTGTATATGTTTATCTTATTGATTGTTGAATAAAATACTGTTTGGCCAATGAGACAGCAAGTTAGACAGGGCTAGAAGTCAAAGAGGATTCTGGGAAATGTAGTAGAGAAGTGATAATCCAGACAGGAAATGACATAGCAAGGAGACTCATATTTAAGCAAAGGAGAAACAGGAAGGGTCCCCTTTTCCCGTTCACCTCCTCCAGTGGCAGGATGTGAGCCACCGGCAAAGAGGGACGCCAATAAGGCGTCCAATAAGATAAGTCTCATAACATATATAGATTTATGATAATTAAGACTGAGCTAACAGATGAGAAGTCCTAGTCATTGGCCAAGCTGCTTTAAACCCAATACAGGTTTCTGTGTATTCATTTGGGCCTGACATTTGGGCCCTAACTCAGGCGGGCGGCTGGCATAAAGCTCACATGTGGTGGTGGGGCTCAGGCAGCTTTTGGCGGAAAGACTTATCGTAACAACTCATCTCAAAACAAAATAATAATAATAATAATAATAATAATAATAATAATAATAATTAGAATAAAGTAAAGTGGTTAAAGCAGGCTACTGTGCATGGCAATACAAACCCTGTTGGAGGCAGAGTCAGCGAGATCACAAGTTCTGGCCCAGCATGGTCCATCTGAATCCCTAGTCACCTGGGGTATACAATGAGACCTACCCCAAACTAACAAAACAACACTCTTCGTTACCATCTGTGATATTTCACAAAGCATCCCTGCTGACATTCTACAGGCAACACCATCTAATAGCATTTCATTATTCTTAATGTGAAAAGATTTTATCTTTAAAATATTTTGGTATTTGTTATTTTCAAAGAAAATTTGATCCTTTTTATATAAACTAGAATAGTTTCATTTTTCTTTCTCCTCATTAATGTAAATAAAGGTTCAGTGTTAGTTGTGAAGACACATGTTCTTCCAAAACCTCTGAAATGTTTATATTTGGAAGGCAGCTATGCTCACCACTATACCACCGAGAAATGTTTCTATTTGGAAAGGTTAAAGCCACTCGGAAGGCAGTTCTGAAGTACACTTTTCTTTGGAGAAGGGAACTGCTTGGCTCACAAATGTATCATAAATGAGTTCACAGTCAGCCTAGGGCAGTGTCATCCACACCTTCTCTTTAGGTTTCTAATTGTCAACTAACAGGAGGAACATACTCAGGGAGTATGTGCAGCAGATGCAACAGTGAACTCCTTCCTTCAGTAAGGATCTAGTTTATCTGGGCCTGCCTTTTCTGCGGAGTAGTGAACGCCTTCCTTCAGTAAGGATCTAGTTTATCAGGGCCTGCCTTTTCTGCGGAGTAGTCATGTCACTATAAGCAAATGAAGTCATCTCAGGAGCTTTGGGGGCAAATTTCCACTCAGAAGCTACTTACTCTCATCCAGTGGCACCTTTCTCTGGGGGGCAGCAGCACCGGGCTTCAGGCTGTGGTAGTCCCGAGAGAGTGCAGAGATGAGGCTAGCATGGTTGATAGAGCGCAGGGGCCACTGCTGCTCACTCTCAGGAAGATTTGGCCATGGAAGGAGCAAGGTGTTCGAGAGTGCACGGCAAACTAAAACCTGCGCCTGGAAAGAACCCAAAAGAATCCATCAGAGGTCAAATGCCAAGCAAAATCTGGTAGCCAAGATCAACTCTGCCTCAGGGCCTAGGTGTCATTCTTATAGCCTAGCCATCTTCTACCTTTAAGGAACTCAGGCTGGAAAAAGAAACACAGAAGTAACTGCAAGTCTGGATCTCAATATATAAGATGGTATCTCAATATATATAGCTGGTATTCACCCTACTCAATCAGGCATCTGAAGCTTCACAGAGGGTTCTCTCATCAGACACGAGTTTAGTGTGGCCTTTGATATTGCCTTCTGACCAACAAGAAACAAATGAAAACAGGCTCACAAGGACACTCTCTTGCCATCATGTGCTCACACTCAGGTCTCTAAGGAACCTGCCTGTAACTCCACCTACTTCACCAACTTTCTGCTCCTAACTAGTCTGAGCCTCCGAGGTAGCATCTCAAACCCAGAATAAAAGTGTATATGAATGCAAACCAGACTGGCATAAACTAATGAGAAGCACAGGAACTCTCATTAGGGAGAAAATCATGTCTCTGAGCATGGATGGAGAGGAGCTTTCCCATCTGAATCAGGATTCTGGCTGTGAGTGAGAAAAGTGGGTTGTATCTGTATCTGTGTACTACCCACAGAAGCAGTCCATGTAGCTGAGGTGACTTTCAACTTGGAATGTAAAAGCAGAAGCAGCCTCTTCTGCCTCAGCTTTCCAGGGTCTCAGTCACAGAGCTCCAGGAATGCCCCAGGGAGTGTGTCCTACCTTATCCGCTAGGCGCTGGGCAGAGGCATCAATGATGCTGTTGAACACCTTCTGCACTGCAGGGATGCTGATGAGAAAGACAGGCCGCACAGTGGTAGCTAGTGAGACCAGTAGGTGGCAGGCAGACAGCAGCAACTTGTCTTGAACCTAGAACAGAAGACATGTGACACATTGGCTTATTGCATCTTCTGTGAGACTGGTGTTGGAGAAACTTTGCTGAGGCAGCTGCAGCTAATCCCTGCCAAACTGTATCAATCACTGAGGGAGTTTCTGCAATACTCCCAACAAGATTAATGTCTTCTAGTCCACATTTATAGCTCCTGTGCTCAGGTCAGCATCACTTCTTGTTTCTTCTTCCCAGTCACTCCTCAGCTCATACACATCTGCTATCTCACACACCATCCTCACTGGCATGCTATCCAAGTCTTCTCTTCAAACATAACAGTGTTCTTCAATTGCCTGCTCTGACTCCCAGAAGCCAAGGTCTCATGCTGCCCTTCCTTCCTGAATTTCATCTTACCAAAAAAACCTTGGTTCAAATCACTGGCAGCTTCAAATCCATAAAAGTTTCTGGAAAGAAGTAGTTACAAACTGGCCTCAGCCTTGACTGTGTTAAGCATACATTCTGCCAATGAGCCATGCCAGTAGCCAAGAAAGCTTCCTATAGCAAGGGCCAAGCATGGGTAAGACTGGTGAAACACCAAAGAGTCATGGTCTACAGAATTATTTAGGATTATGGTAATTTTCTAGAATCACAAAATATTTCCAACATTAACAACATAATCTCTATTTATTCTAAGGAAATTATGTAACAGGATAAATATATTCTTGAATCTATGTATTTCAGAAATGTTTATTAATTTAAAGACAGAGTCTCATGTAGCCTAGACTGGCCTTGAACTTATTATATAGCCAAGATAACCTTGAAGTTCTATTCTACTTCTATTCCTGAATGCTGGGATTACAGGCATGTACTACCACCACGAGTTTTCATGCAGTGTTAGGGATTGAACCCAAGGCTTCATTCACATGAGATAAGCAACCTATTAATTGGGCTAAATTCCAAACCCAGTTTTACCTGCAATGGAATCAACCTAAAAGTGGAGCAAGAGCTAGATACATTATGGACCATACTCCTTATGGGTATCAAAACTTTTAGAAATTACCATTACAAACACAGCAGGTTTATGGAAGTCAACATGGCTCCATTAGAACAGGCTGCCTGTATATGTAAAGACAGCAAGAACACCTGAATGCACCTCATGCAAGGTAGCAGTCTTCTTGGGTGAGGACTTGCTAGACTCTGTCCATTTTATAGAGCTATAACCTTTACTTAGCAATTCCACTTCTGCAACCCCACTACTGGCCCTCTGGCATTTGCAGAAGAGACATAAAGGGAAAATCTTTCTATCAATGAAAAAGTCAAAACCCATCCTCATAAGAGAACAGCACTGGGTAGTATGAAAACTCAAGTTGCTCTGTATATTTAGAAGAAAGCAAGGCATGATGGGAATAAACAGCAGTACCTCTAGCTATCTACATAGTTTCTGCAAAAACAGAGAAACATGTCTAAAAGGATTGCCACCATCCTGACCACGCTCATCCTGAGAACAAAGCTGTTTCAGGGAATGAGATCAAACAAACTATCACCAACTTCAGTCTTTTTCTTCTCCCAGCTTGAGACTCTTAGAGAAATTACAACAAAACTTTTTAGTCAATAAAACTGAGCAGGTGCTTTCACCATGAGCAAAACCTAAGTCATATTTGAACATGTGTCAACTACAACTGAAAATGGACATGAGGATTGGCAAGATATGAGAGAGAGAGAGAGAGAGAGAGAGAGAGAGAGAGAGAGAGATATCCTTGTCACCACAAACCAAGGACTAGCAGAGTGGAAAAAGCCAATCCCTACCAGGTGTTCTCTGATCTCCACAGGCATGTGCACACACACACACACACACACACACACACACACACACACACACACACACACACACACACACACACACTAAAACAAATTTTTAAAGGCACATGAAGTACAGTTGTATTACCCACAGTCAGGACACCATTTTGGTTTTATGGTAAACAGTACTATGGAGAGGACAAACAGGTAGAAGGTGCAGCATTTTCTGTCTCAAGACCTTGGTGCTGATGAGAGGCGTGATGGCATCCATGGTGGTAGAGATGAGTGTCACAAACTGCTGTGTGTTCTGTCGATGGGCTTCACTGCAATACTGTGCCAACCAGTGGGAGTACGCCTGGAGAGCAGCAAGTGACTGGGCATGCCTGCAGGAAGGAAAGAAGTAATGATCTGAGAGGGCCAGGTGAACACAATGGCATAAACTTGTCTCCATATGGAAGAAGACAAAATGCCATCTACTGTGCAGGGCGTTCCGGACATGGTGACAGCATAGAAATCAATCACCTGCTCACTGTCTGTATATGACCATCACTGTTGAGAACACACAGGGAAGTTCCTAACTATCTTCCAGATCTTAATCTTCCTGTGACACACAAGTCTATCTAAGAAAATGAGAAACGTGTGGGGATATGTGCTAACGAAAGGCAGTAAAAACTTAGCAGTCTTAGCTGCAAACTATAAGTCTACATGAGTGATAGGCATTGGATAGCTCTGACAGAAGATTCCAAAGTCTCCCTCCCAGTACCTGTCTGCTTAGAGTGTTCAGGTGTTTGACTTCTGCAAAGGCTGCACTGATCACATATTAACAAAATACACACTTAAAGTTCACAATGAAACCAGATGTGGTGGCACACACTTGTGATGCCTGCACTCAAGGCTGAGGTGAGAGCAAACACTTCAGGTTCCAAATCAGCCTGAACTACAAAGTGAAACCCTGTTTAAAAACAAAACTAAAACCAAACAAACAAAAACTCCAAAACATGCCAGGCACAGTGGCATATACCTTTAATCCTAGCTCTTGGAGGCAGAAGCAGACACATTTCTGAGTTCAAGGCCAGCATGGTCTACATAGCTAGTTCCAGATCAGTCAGAACACTGAAAATCCCACAACTCAAGTCTTACAGGGGCAAGGCAGCAGTCTAGTTCCAAACACTAGCCCACACAGCTATGAACACTTCTCCTTTTCTGTAGTCACAATTAAGCAATCTGAGTTGCTATTCTGATATGACCTACATATATAGTTCCCCATGTTGTGGGCACCATGAAGACCCCTTCTCAGTCACTATTAAACTGTAAACCACTGATTCTTGAAAGAAAGAAAGAAAGAAAGAAAGAAAGAAAGAAAGAAAGAAAGAAAGAAAGAAAGAAAGAAAGAAAGAAGGTGTATTTTTAATTGCTGATCAAGTCTAGCCAGGAACACCCCCTTCAAGCCAGCTCCTGTGTGCTCTTGCACACAGAACATTCGGGAACTACTTCCTTATTTACTAATTATACAACATTCCCCAGCATCATCCTGTCCCAAAACAGTACATTTTCCCAAAGGAGTTATGGCTCCTTTTAGTGGAGAAATTATGTTGTTACACAGCAAGGCATACATATGAGGGGCAGCATAAGTGCCACAGCTTCTAGAACCTGCCTGTGGACAGAGCTAGGGTGTAGACAGCTATCACTTCACAATCAAACAGCATCAACAATCCTAAGTGCTTGCTGATGTTATACAAGAGGAAAGGCATCGTAGGATGCAGCCACCTTGCTGCAAACACGTAAGGCTGAAACAGTAGAGAAAAACTTGCCAACTCTGGACTGTTGGCTATTCTTTAAACAGTAAACTTAAGGTCTGGGGCTCCAAAGTGTCTGTCTGTCTCTTCCTTTTTTTGACACACACCTCTGCTTATGCATCATGTATAACTAGGACTATTCTAGATCATAGGAAACAGATTTCAAGTTTGATCACGATTACACATAAAGTATGTGTGTGATCGTGCATGCATGAGCACTCCACTTCCTGTGGAAAATGTACTGTTTTGGGACAAGATGATGCTGGAGAATGTTGTATAATTAGCAAATAAGGAAGTAGAGCACTCCACATGGGTCATAGGGGAGGTATGTGTATCTGTGTGCCATGGTCATGGTTTATCAGCCCCTGCTCTAGTCCATACCAAGCCTTTTGGGCAGTGCAACATTGATAAGGTCTTCTTTAAAGTCCCCAGATGTCATCCCTTCCAGGTCATTCTGCCATGTGCTTTCCCCATGTACATACTTTAGCTGAATATCTTAAGTCAAATGTCAAAGCAACTTGAGATTGTTATACACAGACATTTGGGCCCTGTGCTATCTTACCAAACTTAACGCCTGTAGGAGGATGTCAGAAAGCCCTTCTGTGTTCCAGTTGCTTTAGGACATCTATTTTGGTTTGGACCAGTTGTTGGCTTACAGCTCCCATAGTCCTTACAATGTCCTCCTAAATAAGGACATGTTTTGCTTGAAAAACATTTGGTCTTTTATCCTCAGTTCCTCCAGTATCTTCAGAACAGTCTAAGTCTTTGTTACTTTTTACAACCCTTTTCAACACACCCAAGCATATGTTAAGCAATGCAATTTCTGGAAACTCCCTAGACTGCCAGGGGTAGGGGACAAACTGCCAGGGGACCCAGCCATGTGCTTGGTGGGTTGGGACTTTTGCTACACCCTCAGCCTCTGGGGAGAGTAAAGGGACTAAACATTTTCCTGATGATTTAACCAATCAGTCATACTCATATATTCCCAAGGGGAATAGGTGAGCTGGGGGAGCTTCTGAATCACAGAACACATGCATGCTCTTGGAGGGGACCGCCCAGAAAAGACAGGGAGGCTCTGAACCTCTCATATATCTTGCTCTACTCATCTCACCTGGCACTCTTATAATAAACCTAGATGTGTCTTGCCAAGTTGAGACATTGGCGTTGGAAAGGAGATGCACAGGGTACACTCCTGGGCACTGAGCCCTCAACATGATGCTCAGTCAGAACTGAGGTTAATCAGAGGATACTCGGTTTCTGGGGAAGAGCACCATCTCCCTGCCCCCATGATGGAAGCATCTTGTGCTTGTAAGATGGTTAGTTTTTCTCCTACCCACCAACCCTGTCAGTGAACAATCTACATGCGGGTGAGAGACACACGTTTCAGGTACTCCTATGCCATCCCTGTGCACCTTTCAGCCTCCTCTTCCACCTCAGTGCTCACCAGTTACCAACCTCACAGCCCACCCACACTGTCGTCTCCGACAATGCCTGCCTCATAGAGCTTCATCCCTGGTCTCTTTAGTTCAACCAACTATCCTCACCCCAGACAGACATCCAAAAATCAATCTTTCTAGGATCAGAGTTGGAGAGTTTTCCCTCTGTTTGTGGCAGCCACCGGGGTTCATTACATTTCATTCATCTGCAGGCAGGGTCAATGTCTCTTGAGAAGGCAGTCACTACGCTCTACTTACACATCAATGAGGTCCGGTTTCAACACTGATGGCACAGCTGTTTCAATGTTGTACAGTTTTATCTGAGATCCGTACAAAGTAACTTTGACCAACCTGTTGACAAAGGAGTAGGTAAAGAAAGGACATTAAGCCTGAGAGCCAAAAATAAACAAAATGGACAAGTTGCCAAAGAAAACCCCAAAGACAGACTTTCTGACCCCCCAAAAAAATAAAATAAAATAAAATAAAAATTCTAATCTCCAATTCTTTCCAGAGCTGTGCATTAAGGGTACTACCACGGCATCACATCACTTATATGGTTGGTGAGACGACCCAGTGGTTAAAGGCACTTGCCACCAGGCTTGGTCACTGGAGTTTGCTGAGGGTACTACCACGGCATCACATCACTTATATGTCAAAAAGTCTAAAAACAATGGTTGGTGAGACAACCCAGTGGTTAAAGGCACTTGCCACCAGGCTTGGTCACTGGAGTTTGCTCTGTGGGACCCAAACAGTAGAAGGAAAGAACTGACTCCTACACACTCACATACGCACAAACAACAGAGGAAAGGTTGGAAAAAAATCTCCACCAGAAGTACATGTTGGCCCAGTTTCCTCTAGAGGTGGGATAAGGAGGTAGACTATGGACTATTGTTTCTACTTTTCTATATTCCTAGATTGTACATTATGAATATTCGATGCTGTGTGCATTTCTTTTTTGGAGTATATTGCTATGTAACCCAGGTTAGCCTTAAACTTCTGATTCTCCTCTCTCAGCCTCCCAAGTGCTGAGAGTACACATATGAACTATGCCAGCTATACATACTATTCTTAGAATCAAGGAAAAAATGTCTTGTTTTTTTCTAAGATTTATTTATTTATTATGTATACAGTGTTCTGCCTGCATGTATTCCTGTATGCCAAAAGAGGGCACCAGATCTCATTACAGAGGTTGTGAGCCATCATGCAGTTTCTAGGAATTGAACTCAGGACCTTTGGAAGAGCAACCAGAGCTCTTAACCTCTGAGCCATCGCTCTGGCCCCACCACCCCCTGCCCCAGGTGGATGTTCTCAGCAAGCAAGCCTGCTCTTTTGACAGTTTATCTAAAGATTCACATGACAAATTTAAAGTCACTCCAACATTTCCAATGGATCAATATATAATAAAGAATGAGTAAAATGCCTGCCATAGAATCTAGAATCTAGGAGGTGGATTCATATCCACCTCTCTCTCTCTCTCACTCCTTCCCCCCTTGCATGATTCTTTCAACTTCTCTCAAGATTACAAATTGTTGATGATAAAATGCTGGAAGAAGAGAGATGAGAGGAGGAAATCTCTCCAGAATAAGCTGAGATGGTGTCAGTGTAGGGGAAGTGGCTGAGTGTGCTGGTTTTTCAAGGCCCACGATGTACAGTGAACATCAGGTACAGCAGGGAGACCCTTTAGGAAGCAGGAAGGCCCACTGTCCTCTGTCCTTTCTGATGTGTGTTCACAGAGCAGCCCTGCCTGAGTTCTGGCCAATTCCACGCAGAACCCTGCTGGCACACACCTCAACTGAGGAGGTCACGACATAGAGGCAACTGGTGTGTGTGTATGTGTGCGCACGCACCTGGAAATCGCCATCTCCAAAAAGAGTTTAGCACTGAAGAAAGGAAGCCTGTACTCTGGGAAATGCTCCTCTTAGATGTGTGGAATGCAGGACTTTATTCCAAAGGAAACCATAAATGGACTAAGGGTTAGAGAATGGCATGAAGGGTACCTCCACAGAGTCAAGAAAGCAAGAGTAAAGAGCCAAGTCCTTAACCCCAAGTCCTCAGAAGTTCTGTAAAACTGGAATGAAAACAGCACTATTCAGTGAGCAGCACAACAATGGATGCTCTGTCACATGTGCTAAAATCACAGCTGTGTGGGTATGATTGTCCCATGCAAGCACAGAGGTCGTACAATTCTGGGTGTTCTGTTCTACCTTCACCTTATTCCCTTGAAACAGGATCTCTCCATAGACTGGTCGAGGCTGGTGGCCACCAAGTCTCCCCCATCCTCCTGTCTTTGTCCCCACAGTAAAGCAAGCACTCATTACTACCCTCTGAGCCACTTCCCCACCTTCTGGTGTTGAGTTCCTTAAATCATGTTCCACATTAAATCTATATCTGTACTCAGCAACTATAACATCAGGTTTCATGTGACCTATAAGACAATACTGCTAATCACATTGGCTAGTCAGATCACAAAACCATCAACAGCCTATACCTCTAACACATGTGGCCTACACAAAAAGGGATGCTGTTGTCTAGTGGAATCTGACCCGCTCTCCTCTTTTTTGTTCGTGCATGAATACATATGTGCACATGTATAAATTCATATGTGTACATTATACATCAGTGTAGAAGACAAAAAAACAACCTTGGGTGTTATTCCTCAGGTACCGTATACCTTTTTTTTCCTTCCTTCCTTTCTGTCTTCTATTTCTAATGGGGGTGGGGATGGGGGTGCTCTCACTGGAACCCACTGTGTAGAAGAGGCTGTTTGGCCAGCAAGCCCTAGGGATCAGTGTGTCTCTGCCTCTCCAGAGCTTGGATTACACGTGTTATGCCGCTGTGCCTGCGTTATTTTCTGTTTTATTTGTTTTTTGTTTTTAAATGTTGGTTCTGAGGATAAACTCAGGTCCCTCTTGTACGGTATCTTCCCAGCCCCAGTAAGGCTTTCTTGATGTTCCTTTATCCCATCAGGAAAGACATGGAACTTGACTGTTCCTGCATTTTTCTGAGTCCAATACTATTTTTACAGCTACATACAAGGTTGCCAGTGTACTAACAGCTTGACTTGTGTTTACTGTTTTTTCTGTTTTATTCACCATGTTAAGTACCTTACTCAATTCTCACAGTAAAACCACAAGAAATCTTTTCCACTGTTTCACTGATAAGGGCCTTAAAGCTTAGCACATCAAATGACAATCTGCTCTATACTAGCCTGTACATGGTTGAAAAAACAGAGGACACATGATGGGGCTGCATGCCACCCTCCCAAAAAAGGAGAGCTAAACTTTGATGGGGGGGAGGGGGGGCTGCATGGCACAGCCAGCCAGCCTACCTTTCCACGACTGTGAGAGCATCGTTGAACCTTGCAGCAAACACATCCCCAGTGAAGTACTCAGCTAAACGGCCTACAGCCTGCAGCAGGGAACTCAAGTCTCGCAACGAGCAGTGCAAGCGCCGGCAGTCATTTTCTGCTGTGATATTCAGCCTGTGTCCTGGAACACAACAGCACTCAGTTTTCCAGAGAAGAGTAAGCTTTTGTTGTAATAAACAAACAAGCCAAACAGAATAAACTAATGCTCCAACAGTAAAAATCTTTAGCTGCTGCCCAGTATAAAACAGCACATCTGAGGACAGCCTCTACCTGCACTGAGGACAGCCTCCACTTTATCTATGTTGCTCCAGGGACCCAGGGCAAGGATAGATAATCCAGTATATTCCCGATGTGATTCATTCTGGTATTGTCACAGTTATGACATTACCAACCTACACACAAGGACATGCAAATGGGTGAGTCCAGTAAGTAACGTGCCCACCATGGTGCTATTTCCAGGGCAGAGTTGGTGCTCCCTGTGAGCTCTGCATTCCATCCCAGGTTTCAGGCCAGCACAACAGGGAAAAAAGGGCAGAGGACTCAGGTATGGTCACTGCTACTTTCTCACTGTACCATCCAACCCTTCCAAGCTTGTCTCTTCAACTTTAAAATGGGAAAGATGCTATAACCTAATTCACTATAGGACATAGTACAGTAAAACCCTACAACCTACAGGGCATTGTTAAATTCTGTAATTATTATGGATCACAAAGAGCTAAAAATTTTTCTAAGACCTGAAACTTTCTTACTTTTCAACATATATCCAAACCTGGTAAAGTGTGATGCTAAGATGAACAACAAAATATCCTCAGTTGGTTAGGCCTTGTCTTGTGGACCAGTCTCTTCAGACACTCAAAGAACCAAAAGACAGTCAGAACTCTCAATCTGGAGAAAGACCAGAGTCTGACAACATGCTTTTCACACATTGGAGATGTTAAGCAGGGAAGCCGTAGTTAAGACCCAGGCTTCAGCACCTGCAAACCCACACTTCCTTAGCACTTTTCAAATCTGTGTCCTCCAAGAGCCACTCCAGGCCTTCACCATCTATGACCAAACCTCCTCCTCTGGTGCTTGCTTGCTCTACTACCATCTGTTGTCTCCTTACTTACTTACTATGGAACCCTTTGGTGGAGCTATGCCCAACAGCTAACATGGCCACTAGTCAGAATAAGTAGTTGTCTGTTGTGTGCTTGCACCTTTTCCCTAAATTCAGGTCACCTAGGAGTACCTTCATTCCCTGTTCCCTGGGGATCTGCATCAACACCTTTATGGGATGTATGATGGTGCAATGCCACCCCTTGAAGCATGCCTGCATGTGTATTCATATGCATGAATGACAACTTGAATAGAAAACAGGCCAGTACTTTACATTGTGGGTTTGAATAAAATGAAATTGCTGATGTTTGATCATTTGGAGTTAAATAAAACTAATTCTTGTCTAATTCAATCTAATACATGTTCCATCAAAGGCTCATGGCAGTCAAAACCCAGATGATCCTTTCCTGAGCCAAGAAACACAGTAGATGAAGCATCACTGTTCCACTCCTCGAGGAAATCTGCCTCCCCACCACAGACACGAATACAACCGGCAGCGGGAGGGATAATGTGTCCAGTGATCCATGTTTTCTCCTTTTTGGCCAAGTCTTGGTTGGCCATCAGCAATCTTCCTCCCTGTCGCTCCACAACCATCTGAAAGTCTATCCCTTTACCAACTCCAGATCCCTCACAGGAGCCACCACACCCTTTAGCAGAGAACACAGTGTCTGTGAGATAGACCCTTTAAATGGAAATGCTACTACATACACAATTAGGCAAACTTCAAAGTACCCTCCCCCAGTAAGCCAAGCCACCATGAAGCAGTTAAAAAAGCAGCTTCCTTGTCTGAGAAGTGAAGGGGTAGAGGTATAAATATTAGCATTGCAGGTATTCCACTCTAAGAGAATACACACAACAGAAACCAACCTTCACATAACAAACCACATAAATTTAAAGTTTTCTATCCTGTAAATGCAACAATCTCTTTGGCAAGAAAGCTTGCATGGCTAACCAAAAGTTGATGGGTTAGTCAGAGCTAAGGAAAAATCTCACTGAGAAACAGCAGAAGCCAAATACAAAGCCCATCTGAGGAAAATGGCCAAGGAGGGGTCTCCGTCCACACACAGGGGAGACAGAGAGTGAGAGCAAAAGCTGACCTGTCAGGGGCCTGAGGTCATAGCAGCTGACATGGGCGTGTTTTGCCTTGCTTTCTACCAAGGAAGCATTAGCAGGAAGTTCAGTAACAGCAAATATGCTAACAAAACAGTACTTGGTGTGAGTGTGCGTTGGGGTGGGGTAGGCAGTGCCCCTGAGCTGTACAGTAACCCTATAGTAGGCTCCACCACCAATCCTAATGCACTCACATGTCAGAGTCATCACATGAAGGGGAACTGTGCCTAGTCGACTCCTTACCATCTGAACAATTAAAGGCTCCACAAAGGGGAAAAGCAACACAAGGAGTGAGCCATAGCTCACCGAGAAGACTGAACAACATAGCAGGGAGCTACTAAGGCATGGAGGAATGCTTCACCATGAGCAAGAAAACTTATTTTACAGCAAGAGAGGATTCACCACTAGAGGATGCACTGAGAATGAGATAATGACCTAGGAGAACCAAGTGCTTGTTGGCAAACTGGCACAAGATGGGCTTAGGTGAGCCTGTACTTGAGGCATGCCAAGTCCCATCACCCTCCTGGGCCCAGTGAAAGACTAATAGGCATGGAAACAAGCTGTTCCAGGCCGCCAGGGCAGCCTCACAAAGAGGCCCCATGGAGGCCCTATTATGAATGGCCAGTTCACCCAGGAGGAAGCTACCTTTTTGATAGGCTTAGTGCCAGCCCAAACAAGAAACTGCAGGCCAGGTCAGCCTATAGGGAAATGCTTCACAGGGTAGCATGGGGGCAGGGTGGGATGGTGCACAGACTTAAGGTTACTGGTGTTTACATCTGGTAAAAATGAATGCCAGTTTATGGCATCTGTTCATCACTCCCCATAATTCCAACTTGCTATTAGCACAAACCAGCTATGTGCCCCTGGGCAAATTAACATTTCTGAAAAGCATTATCCTCTTCTGTAAAACAATAACTAGTAACAATACTTCTATCCTAAAGTGTGGAGGAAACAGTGTCTGACACATAATGAGTGTTCAACGAAGAGGATGCAATTATTATCAGCAGAATAACAAGTGTTAACCCTTCACTCCAACCAGGGACACCAAAAGATGTTGCATCTAGCAGTGGGCAGATCCTCCTGCAGAACACTCACAGCAGGAGAGCTCCAGAATCAATGGTTGCCTCACTCTATAAGCCAGAGGAAGACACTACCCTAGCGAAATCCCATAGCCATTTTCTTTCTAGCACATTTGCTGTTTTAAGGAATATAAGGAAACACTCCAGGGCTTTTAGTCTTTGCCATGATTAGCTTCCTCCCACAGCTTCTTTGTAGCAGGAATTTTTAAAAACTTCTATTTAGAAATTGAAGAGATGTGAAGAGAAGCAGTACAAGGCAAATCACATTATTATAGCAGAGGTGGCAAAAATTAACTATTAGTCCAATTTTTTTAATGGTAAAATAAATTTGAAAGTAAAGAACAATTTACCTGACCCCGAAGTAACTACAAATTGCTGTAATCCCAAATAAACGTCTAAGTTGTCCTGAAGAACTGGAAACTGAAAACAAAGAGACAAAGTTTAAAACAAAAATCATAAATGCAAGTTTTGATACTGCTTTTAATATTAAAGCATTCAGTACCTATGAGGAGAAGGACAGGAACATAAACTTCCCTTTACAGGCCCTAAGCACAGCTCCCTTTCAGTACCCTCCCAATCCCTACAGAAAAACCCTACCAGTACCAGAACAACAAAGAAATCAAGGTCAGTTTGACTGCTTTAAAAGTCATAGCAAAAGACCTTGGGGCGTGACTACTACAGTCCTAGGAAGAGCATCAGCACCACAAGACCTGCAACTTCAAGAGCTGGGTCCTCCATTCAGTCTGAGAAGGTCCCTGACCTTGAAAGAAATATCAAGCATGTCTTATTAATGTGAATGCAAAGAGAAAATTATTTGGGTATCAGTTTCCCTTGTTCATTTAGCAGACAGGACTTCACAGTACCTTCTTTCCTCACCATTAAGACAAGACTTAATATAAGGCAGGTGGATCTCTGTGAGTTTGAGGCTAGCTTGGTCTACAGTTCTAGGACAGCCAGAGCTACACAGAGAAACCCTGGGGTAGTGGGACTTAAATTTGCCTAAGAAAGGCAGGTAGTAAGCTGCCACTGCCTATGAGAGAATGCCAAGTAGTGGCTTGCAGTTATGTGCAGAAGCTGACTTATCTTGCCTTTTTTGTTGTTTTGTTTTTGTTTTTCGAGACAGGGTTTCTCTGTGGCTTTGGAGGCTGTCCTGGAACTAGCTCTTGTAGACCAGGCTGGCCTCAAACTCACCGAGATCCACCTGCCTCAGCCTCCCGAGTGCTGGGATTAAAGGCGTGCGCCACCAACTCCCGGCTCTTGCCTTTAAGGAGATGGAATCCAGCATATAAACACAGGCAAAGATCAAGCAGTCTGCCCACAGTGAGAATGACACAGGCTAGTCTTTTATCATTGTAACTTCTGCCAGTAACACTTCCATTGGCCTGGCTGCTTCCAGCTTTAATAAAAGCATTAAGACACTTCTAAAATTCATACTGCAACTAAGACTAATCAGTACTTCCAGAAGTTGGCATAAAATAGTTAATGAAAATGGTAACAGTACATGTGAAAGTTGGTTTATGTAATTACTCTGAAATAAACAAACAAGGGCTAGGGAGATAGCTCAGTTGGTAGATTGCTTAACCACAAACAAGAGGACCTGCATTCAATCCCTGGAACTCACATTTAAAAAATGCATAAATAAAGCGCAACTCTTGTACTCCCCACTGGGGAGGCAGAGATAAGAGGATTTCTGTGGCTGGCAGCAACATGGCTTATTTGGTGAGCTACAGGCCACCAAGAAATGAGGTCTTTTTTGTTTGTTTGTTTTTTGTTTGTTTTGTTTTTTCCAGACAGGATTTCTCTGTGTAACCTTGGATATCTGGAACTCACTCTGTAGACCAGGCTGGCCTCAAACTCAAAAGATCTGCCTGTGTCTGCCCCCAACCCCCACCCCAGTGTTGGGATGAAAGGCCTGCACCACCATCCTCTTGCAGGATGCTATCTAAAAAAAGGAAAAGAAAAAAAAAGGTGCCTGAAGAACATCACAGGGGTCTGACCTCCACACATACAGATGACAGACAGAAAACACACAAACATATGCATATGAATGAATGAATGAATGAACGAATGAACGAACGAACGAACGAACGAACGCACACACACACACACACACATGAAAAAAAATAATGTACAGATACAGAGCAAGGGAGAGGAAAAAGATGAACAGACCAGCACAAAAGCCATGTTCTATGGGCCAGAAACTGATTAGACTTCCCCTTCAAATGGTGAGTTACCAGGGTTGAGAAGGCGTGTGTGGGAAGGAGCTCCATCACTTTGGCCACTACCTCCAAGCTCTGGCGTAAGTACCGCTGCCACTCTGTCTGCTGCTGTTGGGGAAAAACAAAGGTATCAGCTCCCCCAGATAGCAAGTCCCTGTCCTCTTTATCACCAGTCCCCTTTAGCCTTCAGTCTACTGTCAGATGTTAAATTTAAAGAAAATAGGGAATAGTGGAACCAGAAATTTGGAACTTGGAAAAGGCCCAGTTAGGTTTTATTTTGTTTTGTTTTCTTTTTTAGTATAATTTTATTTCCTAACAAGCTACTTCTTCAGAAAGCAAATAATTCACATACAACAATTCATCCCCCCCCATCATATTATGTGGAATTCAGAGAGCCACATGGGGAGAGTCTGAGTAGCTTTTCTATTATCCCATTGATAAGGAGCAGTCATTTCTTTACATATACCTGACTCAATCAGCACCATTCAAGGCATAGCTCACAGGCAGCATCAGTGTCCCCAGGGACCAGTCAGCAACACAAAACTCTGGTCCCATGTCAAACCAGAATCAGGGTGTGATTCAACAAGCTATACTAGAGGTTCTTAGTGGAACTAAAGGTGAAGAAAACCACCTCAGTCAGTCAGCACATCTCACCCTTCCACACTGTGCTGCCTCATGTAACTATCAACACAAGTCAGCAAAACAGGCCATTTCCATTGTGGAGATGAGGGAAGCAAGGCTCAGAAAACTCACAACTACATCTCATGTGTTCCCAAAGCCGTAGAGGTTCAAGTCCAAGTCATCTGGCTCTAAGTGTCCTTTTCCTTATTCTAAAAATCTACTCTCAAGGTCATAATCAAGCCACCAGCCGCTCTAATTTTGAGCATGATATTAATACTAGAGAAATTTCAAGTGATTGATAGGAGGAAAGGAACACTAGAGTTGTTTGTGCTCATAAGAATATTTTCCTTATTAATGTTGTACAGACCAGCAGCAATATACACAAGGTTCAGTTTAAATATAACAGCTTATAGTATATGCCTAACACAGACTATCATTCCAGCTTTCTCATTTAAATACCTCTCCAACCATTCCTACTAGTACCCAGCTAGGTAGACAGAGAGCCGGGAGTACAGTACTCATTAAAGCATTTCCCATGTACACCTAGTCTCTCTATATTTCTAGTCCTTAGAAATAAACTGCCTGTGGAGCATTTTTGTTTTCAGAAGTAATGAGATGAGATGAACCAGCAGGAGAGAAATGGCTCTTACATCATCATCCAGAGTTTCATCATCCAACTCCTCCAGCTGGGCCTGGTTGTATCTGAACTGGATTCGATTTAACACCTCAGTGAGCAAAAGGACCAGGGCATCTTCGTACCTAGGGAGGAGGGAAAGAGTTGACATCAAGATAAAGCACACTTGCAGCTCCTGATTTTGACCAGGCCTCCTGGACTATGGGAGCAGTACTCACCTTGGACACACCTAACCTTGATGCTGAAGAAGTGCTTTACTATTTACATCACACGGACTTTTCATGGACTCTCTTCTATAGTTAAGATTGTTACTAATTCTTGTGCTTATTGTTACATAAAATATAATTTTCCTATCCTTACTAACTGGATCACGGATTTTCAAATCCATTCTGCCCATCTCTGCTTTTTGTTAAGATGTTATTTATTTATTAAGTATACAGTGTTCTACCTACATGCTTGCCTTTGCACCAGAAGAGGGCACAAGATCTTATTATAGATATTATTATAGTTGGTGAGCTACCATGTGGTTGGTGGAAATTGGACTCATGACCTCTGGAAGGGCAGTCAGTGTTCTTACCCCATGAGCCGTCTCTCCAGCCCCCAACTTTGCCAAATAACAACAGAATCTAATCTATTATAGTTAATATAATTATCAATAAAGTAAGTCTGATTTCTGCCATTTTTGTTCTGTCATATGTCCCCAATCAATACCTTCTTTTGTGTCAAATAGATATTTTCTAGAGCAGCATTTTAAAGTCCCCTATCTTTTACTTTGCTACATATTTTTATGGTTGATTTTTTCCAAATCATTTTTTTTTTGGGTGGGGACTACTAGTACTGTATGTAAATACCAACAAATAACACCACTTTTTGTTGTTTTTCAAGACAGGGTTTCCCTGTATAGCTATGAAGACCAGGCTGGCTTTGAACTCATAGAGATCCACCTGCCTCTGTACTTGAGTACTAGGATTAAAGGTGTGTGACACCACACCCAGATTAACACTTTCAATAACTGTGAGAGGTAAAGTGTGAGAAAGCTACAATTAATATGCTCAAGATCAACAAAGCCAGCCAGAGCTCCCTAACTCAAGTCTCATGTTCTCTCTACAAAAAACTACCAGTGGCTTTTAAGTTAAACCCAAAACTCAATCTTCAATTAATTTTAAAACTACTTAGAAACTAAAGGGGAAATAAAAAGGCCATGGGGAAACCCTGACCTTCCGGTTTGTATCTAAAAGTAATTATTAAAGAAATGCCGAAAGCCCACATGGGGCTACTTTCCACAATAATAACCTATCTTATGGGGAACAAACAAAAACCAATTATTTTCAAGAACAGATTATGCTGCCTAAATGCTTCCATTCCCGAGAAGCAACTAAGACCAGGGAAATGAGATATGGCTCCCAGCTGTGAGCACTGTGACCGGCCTGAGGCGCTCCACTGAGATTCCAGAGGAAGACTGTAAGGTATATAGAAGGGTGAAGGGTTTCATGCCTCCTCCCGTGGGCTTGCTCTCTGCAGTGCTGCCCAGCCTCAGCTACCCCATGCCCCGAACCCCACAGCTACCCCACGCCCCCCACCCCACTTCAACTGCACTGCCCACCCCGCCCAACTTCACTCCACATTCTCAGCACCTGTCTCACATGCATACTAAGTGCATCAAGGGCTCCTGAAGGAAGGCCTGCTTCCCAGGCCTCCTAAGAGCTTCTGGGACAGGGGGTGTGGCCTACTCTTTAAAGACATGAGCCCTTACCAACTACATGGAACTTACTTAACTCACTGAGCCCCTGCCCCAGGCTTAGTGGTAGAGCTGCTTCCTGTAGTTATCAACTGTGTTGTCTCCCTCTCTGTTTTCCCAGCTTTTTAAACACCTATTTAATCAACTGTCTACACTACAGTCTCGGTTAAAATACATGTGGTTTCTGTTTTCCTGGTAGTACCCTAACCAATTTGCTACCCAATCCAAGAAAGCCAAACCTGACAGACTCAAACTAAGGTCAACTGTAGCCCATCTAGTCTAAGCATTGCCAGCCATAAGATGGATCTCTGTAGAAACAGTCTACAGACTTCTAACAATCCTCCTGGGCGCTCACATTTCAGCTAGATGGGTACAAAAGCTCATTCCTACCTATGGGCTGACACAGGCCCTTCTCCATAAGACTTAGCCATTGTTTTCAATAATATAGCAAACACCAGGCCTAGAATAGAATAACAACTGAATATGGTACAGGAAAGAATACTGACTGGAGAAATTACTAATAAAATCGACGTGTTTAGGGAAAATCATACTTGGGGGGTGGATGTCCCAGGAGCTCATTACCTCCCATTTGCCTGTGACATAATCCATAAAGCTGTAGGCATTTTGCTATAAATTGCTATGTCAGATCAAAACATTCTCACAGAAATAAAATCCCTTTCAGACAAGAGCACAGACAGATTTTGCCACTGCCCACTAAAAGGGGGTTTCAAGACTGTATATAAAGAGAACTCCAAGTCAGACAAAAGCCTCCCTGGCAGTTGACAATACACATCCAAAAGTCATGTAACAGACATTACACAAACCCCACCAGGAACTGTGCTAAAGACTCACAAGTAACTGATCTCCCAAAGTATGTAGCAAGCAATGGGAGAGGTGTGTGGATAGGACAGAAACCCTAGATACTTGTTTATACCTATTCACCATCACCATTCCCATCCCCAGTAAGTGAATACTGGCATTGAAGACAGCTAAAACACATTTTCCAGTAGACAAAAAGATAGTAAAATAAATTACTGGAAAAAAAAATTACTGACTCAGGCATACTAGCTCGTTTTTTATGTCAACTTGACAGACCAGAGTCATTTGGGAGCAAGAACCTTAACTGAGAAAAAAATGCCCCCAGCAGATTGGCCTTTAGGGAAAACTTATGGGCATTTTCCTAGTGATGTAGAAGAGCTCAGCTCACTGTGGGTGGCCATGGGGTATCTAAGAAAGGAAAACTTATGGGCATTTTCCTAGTGATTGATGTAGAAGAGCTCAGCTCACTGTGGGTGGCCATGGGGTATCTAAGAAAGCAGGCTAAGCAAATCATGAGAGTAAGCCAGTAAGCAACATTTCTCCATGATGTCTAAATCAACTCCTGCCCTGACTTCCCTCAGTGATGCAGTGTGATGTGGAACTGTATGCTGAAATAAACCTTTTCCTCCAAGTTGCTTTTGGTCATGGTGTTTTATCAGCAAGAGAAACCCTAAAGCAGTAGGGTTTCTAGGAAAGCAGCTTTGGCCTAGCCTCTCCACTGCCTGAGTCCTAGGTGTGGTGCCTGTAGAATCCCTCTTGCTGCCTTTCCTATGAGAAAGACAACCAGCAGGTTCCAATGTCAAGTCAACCAGTAGCCACTAGTATTATTGAAAAGACCCTCTGAGGTTCTTCAGATGAAAGGATATATAAAAGAACTGCCCTCAATGTAACTGTTTGGGGACAGGGTCAACAAAAGGTGAGATGAGAGCCTAATCCAGTAGCATCGCTGTCCTCATAAGGACAGGCTCCTTTATGTCTGTCTACCACGTGCATACCTGATACCTGAGGAGGCAGAAAGAGTACAGATACTCCAGAACTGAAGTTACAGGTAGTTTCGAGCCACCATGAGTGCTGGGAATCAAACTCAGGTCCTCCAAGACAGAATTCAGCACACTTAGATGCCAAGTCATCTCTTCACCCCCTTAAGAAATTTCCAGAACCTAGAAACAACCCAGATGCCCCTCAACCGGAGAATGGATAAAGAAAATGCGGTACATTTACAATAATAGAGTATTACTCAGCTGGAAAAAAAACAATGACATCATGAAATTTGCAGGCAAATGGATGGAAGGAAGGGAAAGAAAAAAAAACCTGAGTAAGGTAACCCAGACTCAGAAAAACAAACACAGTATGTATTCACTCATAAGTGCATATTAGATGTAAAGCAAAGGATAACTACGCTACAATCCACAGCTCCAGAGAAGCTAGGTAACAAGAAAGACCCTAAAAGGGACCACTATGGGGTTAAGAAGAAACCTGGTGCTAGAGTAATTCCTAAAAATCCATGAGGATGACCCCAGCTAAGACTCCAACAATAGTGGAGAGGATGCCCAAACTGGCCTACCCAGTAATCAGATTGGTGAATATCCACTATCATCATAGAGCCTTCAGCCAGTAATTAATGAAAACAGATGCAGAGTTCCACATCCAAGCACCAGGCCAAACTCTGGGAATCCAGTCGAAAAGGAGGAGAAGGAAATATATGAGCAACAGAAGTCAAAATCATGATGACGAAATCTACAGAGACAGCTGAACAAAGCTCATGGAAATTCATGAACTCTAGACCAACAGCTGTCTCTACTCCATGGGAATGAACTAGGCCCTCCGTGTATGTAGGAGACAGTTCTGAAGCTTAGGTCTATCTGAGGGGTCCCTGACAGTAGGACCAGGATCTACCCTGGTACATGAGCTAGCTTGTTGGAGCCCACTCCCTATGGTAGGCTGCCACTGTCAGCTTTAAATGCATGGGAGAGGGGCCTGGCCCTGCCCCAAACCTATTGTGCCAGTCAACCTATGTTGACTCCTCATGGGAGCCCTTCCCCAAGAGGAGGAGTGGACAGAGGGGTGGGCTGGGGAGGAGGGGGTAAGAGGGGAACGGGAGGGGGAAACTTAAGGAAATTAAAGTTTAAAAAAAAGGAATTTAAAAGGACTAAAAATCATACAACTATATCCAGATAACAAAACTGAAATGGAAAACACTAACAAGGATATATGCGAAATCCCTAAATATTTGGAAATTGAACAAAGAGATTTAAAGTGAAATTTGATAATAATTTAAATAATATGGTATATATTAAAGTCTGATAAAACTGAAGTAGTCTTAGGGGGAAATTTATAGCATTAAATGTACATATATTGGGCTGGAGAGATGGCTCAGCAGTTAAAGAGGTCTTGCGGCTCTTGTTCAGTTACCAACATCCACATGGTAACTTAACAACTGTCTGTAACTTCAGTTCCAGAAGCTATGACGCTCTTCTGGCCTCCTTGAGCACCCAACATGCATGTCTGCACATACAAACAGGCCAACACCAATACATACAAAATAAGAACCTTTAAAACAACATGGAT